AGGGACCCAAACTGCAGGAACAATAATATCAGAAATGATCTGCTATTGTTATAATTGGCTATCAATATTCAAGATATCCCTGTTCAGAAAAAAATGAAACTCCAACAATACAATTTTGAATCTCTATTTTTCAGCTAAAATGTCAAACTATAAGGAGGATATGTCCAGTTGGTCTATGTTATCATGCTGTTTTATGATTAAGAGGCAAAGGGACCACTGTGTATAGTGGTAATTGCAATAAAAGATTGCCATTATGAGTGCTGTTAGAGGAAATGGGTTGAATTGAAGGGAATACATGTTCATTTGCCAAGGAGTTATTATGCAGACATAGATGAAGTTTAAATATTAAATATGCGTACTTTAAGTCTATGTATATGTATACATAGATACATACAAATATCTATATTTTTTAATTTTTAAATTATCAGCATTTTCATATTTCACACTTCAGCTCATTATATATATGTGCACATGTATATACACACACAGATACACTTTCATATTATACCTTTAATTTGGGTAATGCTACTCATTTCATAGGAAAACTTCTTGCATAGTAATACTCATTTACTATAGTAAGTTTCTTTCAAAATAGCTCCATATGGGATAAAACCTACTTTAGTTTTCTTTAACCCAAATCCTTGGTCAGCAGGTAGCCTGTTTCTCAGAAGTATCAGACTTTCTGACCCCATGTTTGGTGCTGCCCATAGTAAGTTGGGTGCTATGGTTTTAAAGATCTGTGAGTGGCAATAAATTTAAATGTGCAAATGTATTCAGATTAAAAGGGGGAATGGGACATGATAAGCCTTCACAAGAGAATAATTACTTTTTGTGACAAAAATTAACAAAGCACCAGACTATAGGTAAGTGTTAGAACTGTCCTTGTATTTTACAGCTAGAAGTTCACCGATAAGTAAAGCAATAAAACTGCATTTTGCTTGTGAGGTTTTTTGGTCTTGCCGCCTTCCACTCTGTCTGTGCATCTTACATAGTATCACAGTAGAGGTCAGTTTATTATAAGAAGTGATATTCATTCATTCTTTAGTCCCGTCAAGAACCTCTATCAAGCATCTGTTTTGTGCCCTATAGGTACAGAATTGTTAGACCAGGCCCTGGAAATGCAGAAAGGAAAATGGGAGTTTCTGCCTCCCAGGAGTAGTCTTGTGAGAGACGAGTAAACAGATGAGTGCCATTAGTAAAAATAAGCTATGGAAACATTTCTGCGCAAGGATATATACACTAAGCAAATAAATAAAAACAAAGTGCCTTATTTTGCCTGAAACTTTTATTTGTTGAAACTGTGTGAATAGAGGAGTTTCCCAAAACAGGGATGGAGAAGGTAAACAGTATATTAGATGGCTTTACGTAGAAGCTGCTGTATGATTTAAATCTTTACACAAAATTTGGAGCCAGATGGATGAAAAATATAATTACGGTGCCAGGTTAAATGGAAGTAATTGCAATAAAAGATGGGAAGAAACTAATATGCAAATATCTGTATCACAGAAGACTAAAATTATGCTTTCATTTTGTCCCTGAAAATAAGCTAATCCTCTCCAGAGGAAAAAAAAAAGGGTATTATTGAGAAATATGACTCCCAGGCAGGTTATTATACCATCTTCAAAGGCAGAGCCTTGCAATAGTCCGAAATCAGTTTGGTTCTGTGCCTGTCTAAAGTATATCCTTTATGGTGCAAGGGAAAGCTGCAGGCTCTTGACAGCAGAGTGGGGTGTCTTTGTCTTCAGAGAACCAATTCCAAAGATGGGCTTGTTGCCAGCACTGCAAACCTGCTGACACCAGAAAGTCAGGGCAAATGAGGGATTGGTGTAGTAATTAACATGAAATCTTTGGATCTGTTCAGATGTCCAAAATGGTTGTTTTTCATTCTCTGAGCCATTCAGTACACTCTGGAATTCTTTTTTTTTTTTTTTTTTAAGTCAGTAATCTAGGTAGATAACAGATGATGAGAAGTTTTGGTGTTGTATTAATTGGATTATCCCTGTTGTGCTTAGCTGTGAAGTGCTGAGCCTCCCTTTTAACTAGAAACTGTTTTCTTCATCAACAAAGCAATGAGGATACGAAGACAGTCGCCTCTTAGGTCTTGAGACACTTACGTTTAGGAAAAGATAGTAACATGTGGATTCCAAAAGAACACTGCTTTTCCAAATTAGAAACAGTAAGATGACTGACCATGCTACAGAGTTTTGGGGTGTGAGGTATATCATCACCCAGGTTTTAGTTGAAGAGTAGATCCCTACCACACCATTGCCTCCGAGATATCCTCTGGTCTCTCTTGATAGATTAGTCCTCCCCTTATGTAGAATCTTTTCATCTTTGGACCACTTTAATTGTCAAAATATCCTTCCATATTTTGCCTGCAATTGTCATCTCTTAGACTTACCTTCCACAGTTCTAACCATTGCCTCCTCATTGTTCTGCCTCAGGCTCTTCTAGTACTCAAATTCAAATGTAACAAGTGTGAGAAATTAACCTTTATCTCCCAGGCTAAATAACTACTAATCCTTTGAATTCATTCTCATCTGTTGTCTTTTTTAATTGTCTTCTCTTCCTCCTGTTACCATATTCTACAGTTTTTCTGTGTTCCTCTTAAAGTGTAGAATTATTTGAGCATCCTTTTTTTAAAAGATTTTATTTATTTATTTGTCAGAGAGAGAGAGAGAGAAAGAGAGAGAGGCAGGCAGAGGGAGAAGCAGGCTCCCCGCTGAGCAAGGAGCCCGATGCGGGGCTCCATCCCAGGACCCTGGGATCATGAGCTGAGCGGAAGGCAGACGCTTTACCAGCTGAGCCACGCAGTCATCCCTTATTTGAGCATCATTATAGCTAAGATATACTGAGATATTTGTCAATAATAGTCTTAAGTATTTTTTTGACACAACTAAATTTAAGAAGTACATGAAGAAAAAAACTTTCATTTGTATTGCTTTTGTAGTTACAATATCCTGGAAATCAAAATCCTTTGGCACTCATTAGTATGGATTACATTTTGTTGTTGGGAGAGAACCCCAAATTTCAATACTCCTCTTTGTTTTCAAGTAAGCTTATGTTATAAAGACATCAGCTGTGCAGTATCCCCCCAATGATATGTTGAGATCCTGACCCGTGGTATTTGTGAATGTGACCTTATTTGAAAATGAGATCTTAATGTAAATTAAGATGGGGTTATACTAGAGTAAGGTAGGCCCTTAATCCAGTGACTGGTGTCCTTGTAAAAAGAGAATAGGAGATAAAGGTAAAATACACATGGCTGGGAGTAGATCATGTGAAGTACACAGACACACAGAGAAGATGATCGTGTGACCACAAGAAGCAGAGATTGGAATTATGCAGCTGCAAGCCAAGGATTGTTGGCAACCACCAGGAGCTAGCAGATAAAGCATGACCTTTCCAACACCTTGATTTCAGATTTCTAGCTTTCAGAATGGTGAAATAATTCATTTCTGTGGTGGTAAGCCACCCAATTTGTGGAACTTTGTTATGGAAGGACGAGAAAACTAATAGAAGGTGATTGGAGATTTAAAATAATTTAGAAAGTTCCCTTGAAGCTTTCATTAGTGTTATATGGAAGAGAGCTCAGAGAGATCTGAGTTCAAATTGCAGTAGTTTCACTGGGAAGATATGTACTTTTCAGCAAGTTATCGACCTTTCCAAATACCAGTGCTCAAATCTTACATGAAGATAATGGTCACTTAATTGCGGTTTTACAATTAAATGAGATCATGTGTGGGGCACCTGGGTGGCTCAGTTGGTTAAGCGACTGCCTTTGGCTCAGGTCATGATCCTGGAGTCCCTGGATCGAGTCCCGCATCGGGCTCCCTGCTCGGCAGGGAGTCTGCTTCTCCCTCTGACCCTCCCCCCATCTTATGTGCTTTCTCTCTCTCTCATTCTCTCTCTCTCAAATAAATAAAATCTTTAAAAAAATAATAAAATAAATGAGATCATGTGTGTAAAAGGTATACCTTGGCTTGTGCTGAAGAAGTGTTTTATTAGGACAGAGGGTGGTGGTGGTGTGCTAACACTGTGCATTGGCATTACCTATTAAAAAAGAAGGTAGACTTTCTAGGTTCAATGAGGAAGTTCATGTCTAGATGTGAAATACTTTGTCTAAGGTTATATAAGATTATTGGCAGAATTTTTACCCCCATGACCTTCAACAGTGTCACTCTTATGAATATGTTATCTTATTTGGCAAGCGGGACTTTATAGATGCAGTTATGTTTGCTAATCATTCAACCTGAAAATGTGGACGCTTTCCTGCTTTATCTTGGCTGAGCCCAGTGCAGTTATATGAGTCTTTAAATGCAGAGCTTTTCTTCAGCTGAAGGCAGGAAGGGAAATGAGAAAGATTTGAAATATGAGAACATGCCATGGCTGACTTGAAGATGGAGAGGTGTATACATCAAAAAAATGGAGACCTTAGTCCTACAAACTCAAGGAACTAAATTCCTCCAACAGCTGGAATAATCTTGGAAGCAGATTATTTCCTAACTACACCAGAAAGGAACAGTACCCTAATATCGTGTGTGTGTGTGTGTGTGTGTGTGTGTGTGTGTGTGTGTGTCTTTTGAGACCCTATACAGAAATTCCAGCTATGTGGTGCTGAATTTGCAATCTACAGATTTCGGGGGATAAATGGATGTTGTTTTAAGCCACTAAATTGGTGCTAATTTGCTAAGCAGCAATAGAAAACTAATATAGCTCTGTCAAGTTGGAATAAATACGATAATCCTGATTCCCTGTGTTAAAGGATAAATTGAGGCATATATATATATATATATTTAAACATTAAGCTTATTTGATTTTTTTAAAAGACTTTATTTATTTATTTGACAGAGAGAGACACAGTGAGAGAGGGAACACAAGCAGGGGGAGTGGGAGAGGGAGAAGCAGGCTTCCTGCCGAGCAGAGAGCCCAATGCGGGACTCGGTCCCAGGACCCTGGGACCATGGCCTGAGCTGAAGGCAGACGCTTAACGACTGAGCCACCCAGGCACCCCTAAACATTAAGCTTATTTGAGGCAAAATTGATTCAGATCAGGCAGTGCTGAACTAGGAGTGGTTAGGAGCACTCTGCAGACAGGAGCCAGAGAAAAGACTTATACGAAGTGCAGAAGCAAAGAAGGGAAATTACATGATTGGCTATTGCTTAAAGTCTAGTTGGCTGTTCTCATGCTTGGCTGTTCTTAAAGTTTTGGTTTCATAGCCTTGAGGCAATTATAGACTTCGATTTCAGTTTGCTTACATAGGTGGGTATAGCATTAGAGCCCCCTCAGTCTAATGGCTTCCTTGTTGAATTAATTTACCACCTGGGGGCGCCTACGTGGGGCTCAGTCAGTTGAGCATCTGACTTTGGATCTTGGCTCAGGTCTTGATCTCATGGTTCTGAGTCCAAGCCCTGTGTTGGACTCTGTGCTGGGCGTGGAGCCTACTTAAAAAATAAGCAAATTAATTTAACACCTGCTTTGCTTTCTCTTTACCAGCTGCCTTAATAGATTCAATCTGTTATGCTTTGATTTAAACAAATACATTTCTAAGAAAGCTGAATAGGAGAAGTCTTATTTTACCAGTTAACCTATGTATAAATTGTTTAGAATTTCCTCCACCCAGTAAATTTTGTTACCATTAAAAAAAAAAGGTATAAATTGTGTTTCCCTGAATATTATGAGCAAGAATTAAATAAGTTCCATTACTGTTAGCAATTACAATAACAAAACACACTTGAAATTTCTTGAAATCCCTGGGACTTCATAAGATATATTAATTCTTTTTTTTTTTAAAGATTTTATTTATTTATTTGAGAGAGAAAGAATGAGAGACAGAGAGCATGAGAGGGAGGAGGATCAGAGGGAGAAGCAGACTCCCCGCCGAGCAGGGAGCCCGATGCAGGACTCGATCCCGGGACTCCAGGATCATGACCTGAGCCTAAGGCAGTCGCTTAACCAACTGAGCCACCCAGGCGCCCCAAGATATATTAATTCTTGACCATGACATGAATGTAAGATTGTGCAGACTTAGATTCTCGCAAATAAACACAGATGAAATCTGTATCTCTACAGATATAGGAAAAAGAAGTACAGGTACTACTGACGTACGATTTTTTAAATAAAGTTAAAAGTGGACCTAAATCTGAATATATTGAAATGTGATGTGGGCATTTTTCTATTGGAAAATTCATATTTAGAATTCAGAAAGGAAATTTTGTCTCTCAAGTACTTCATGGCTGATTTTGTGTGTTGAATTTTGAGGGTGATATTTACAGCCTTTAAATCGTCCCTACTCTAGAATCAATTTAAAAATGCAAGCAGGAAATAAAAATATCAGCTTTACTCTGGAGAATTCTGAGCGGAAGAGATGTCTTGGATGTATACCCATAGCCAAGCTCTCTCACATTTCGTCTAATCACAAATTTGCCCACCAATATGGATGACTCCCTTAAAGATAAGTCTCTCTTCATTCCTTGAGGGGAGAAGTGAAGTGAGAATAAAGAGGGTGGAAGTTTCTTATTTTACAAAGGATAAAACGTATTATTTTATGTAGAATGACTATCAAGGGCAAAATAATCTAAAGATATTTACTTAAAAATGTATAGCATGGGCAGAATATCTAGGTGTCCTACAATTACACAACTGCTGTAATTTCCAAGTTTCTAAAGTAAAATTTACTTCTCTGTTTTTGTGCCATTTTTAATATGGTTATAGTACATTCACTTCCTAACATTGTATAAAAAGCTGCAGGGGCGCCTGAGTGGCTCAGTCGTTAAGCATCTGCCTTCGGCTCAGGTCATGGTCCCAGGGTCCTGGGATCGAGCCCCACATCGAGCCCCACATCAGGCTCTCTGCTCAGCGGGAAGCCTGCTTCTCCCTCTTCCGCTCCCCCTGCTTGTGTTCCCTCTCTCGCTGTGTCTTTCTCTGTCAAATAAAAAAATAAAATCTTAAAAAAAAAAAAGCTGTCTATCTGGTTCCAAAGCTATTAGACTATAGGCTCTTTTAGGAAAGCATAAGGGCCTGAGCTCTCCAATATGAAATTCTAAGACAGAGTTTTTAGGAGGTGAGGTCTTCCCATCCTGATTTGCATCCAGCCTCCAGCATATAATTCTGAGAGTTATTTCTGAGTGACCCAAAAAGTCTCAGCTTGACTCTCAGTTTTTGAAGGGAGGACAATTTTCTAGGAGAGGATTTGGTTCCTTAGCTTACCTGTCAAAGGAATCTTTATCTAAGCCCTCAAAATGTTAATGTTCTTTGGGGATATTTGAATATCACCCACGTGAGAGCCAGAAATATGTCATAGATACTGTAACATTGTGAATTCAGGAGCAACTATGTGTCTCTGGAAATATAGGACATAGTTCTTCACATGACCATGCTGTCCTTCAAAAGAAGTATTTTGTAAAGTGTGTAGAGAGTTAAAAGAGAAAAAATTAAATATCTAGTTATGTATAGATATGTACATGTATAGTGTATAACTCTTATGTAACCATGCATTCTGCATCTCCATGCATTCTGCATCTCCATTAATCTAATAAATTGTTATCGGTCACAAAATACTGTCTTAAATGTAGCTGTGGATATTTATTGCTTCAATTATCCAAGTGAACTTACTTTCATATTTTCTATAAAAACTTCCCATGAGACAGTAAGGGGAAAAAATACAGGAATACAGGGTTTGTAAACTTGGCATTTCTTTTAAGTTGGTGATATCAGGCACATTACAGTATTACATAACTTTTCTAGGCCTGAGTCTCACCATTTTTAAGGTGAGATTTAAAGGACATTTAATTAATTGTGGGGGATAGATTTTGAGATTATTCTGTATAAATTACAATGCAATAAACACGTGAGTTTACCTTTTCTTCCAACACAGTATTAAATGAAATGAGGAGTGTCCATCTACCCTCTGACCTTCGCCAACATGCAATGCCTCATGATACTTAGAATTTTCTACCCTGTCTTAATGGTGTGGTCCTTTTTCTACGAAAGTGTGGGGTTCTTGAAGGCATAATTTTTTTATCTTTTATCTTGCATTGCAGGATGCATGTATTACTTTCATTACTCTCTGATGGATAAATTAATTCATTCAGTAGATAATTATTGAAGATATAACATTACCAAGGGGGATGTGCTAAAACAATGCTTACCAATACAGAAGTGCTGCCTATTATTCCTGAACTGAGAGTTTCAAACTATAAACAGAAATAAACTAGTGGTAACATTAAAATACCTTTTAGCCTTCTAGGATGGATTTTTTTTGTTTCCTATAGGAATACAGAAATAGGAATTACATAACATTCTATCAGGAAAATGAAGACATTGGAAATAAAATAGTGGCATAGAGAGCCAACACAGGTTAACAGCATCATCTGTGACACTGACCAAACTGAGTACCAATTTTAGCTCAGCTGTTTATCATTTGTTTGACCTTAACAACATATTTAAATGTGCAGTTTTTTAGTTTTCTCAAAGTAATAAAATTAATGTAGACAAGTAATAACCTGGCATACTTCTCAGATTATGAGTCTTGAGAATGTTCATTTATTTGACTTTTTTCTTTAAGAAGTCCATGCACTAAACTTTAGATACATCTTCTCCAAGTGCCCACTATGATTTGGTAGAGGCAATCTCCAGTTTGACTGTGTGCTATGTCAAATATTTAAGGGAGCTATTATCTTTTTCTGGTGGGGGGTTGGGTAATCAATTGAAATTTCATCCTGATCAAGCTGGAGACCAGCCTGTAAATTCAGCATTGGTATAAAGCAGAAATGAGGCCTCTCCTTTCTAAAGCTTCCCCCCTGAGTTCTGACTGATAATAAAGACTTTGAAATTATGTTTCATTTAGAGTGGCATCAACATGACAGGACCATGCTGAGTCTTAGAACATTATGATGTGAAATTAATCCGAACCATTTTATAGTAAGAAAGTTCTTTGTATAAGCAAATGCTGTCTCTAATTTAGCTCAAGAGATTAAATAAAACAAAGAATCATAATTATTTCTGAAAACATTGACTTTATTAGACCAAACTTTTGAGGGTTTATTATTTGGGGTATAAAAAATCCTTTAAAGTTTCACCTTTTTAAAGAAAATGTCTCAATGAATTTCTATAAAGCAGTGAAGATGGTATCCTGATATCCTCTCTCCTTATGTTTTGAAATATCTTTTAAGAATTCAAATATGGATTTGTGGATATTGAACCACCCTTGCACCCAGGAATAATTGATTGTGGTGATTGATTCTTTTAATTTACTGTTGGATTTTATTTGCTAGTGTTTTGTTGAGAATTCTTACATCCATGTTCATCAGGGATATTGGCCTATAGTTCTCTTTTTTAGTGGAGTCTTTGTCTGGTTTTGGAATCAGGGTAATGCTGTCTTCATAGAATGAGTTTGTAAGTTTTCCTTCCATTTCTATTTTTTGGAATAGTTTGAGAAGAATAGGTATTAACTCTTTAAATGTTTGGTAGAATTCCTCTGTGAAGCTGTCTGGTCCTGGACCTTTGTTTGTTGGGAGATTTTTGATTACCGATTCAATTTCCTTGTTGGTTATCAGTCTGAATTTTCTATTTCTTCCTGTTTCAGTTTTGGTAGCTTATGTGTTTCTAGGAATTTATCCTTTTCAAGTGACAAATCTGATAAAGGGTTAGTATCCAAAATATATAAAAAATTTATAGAACTCAACATCCAAAAAACAATCCAATTAAAAAAATGGGAATAATACGTGAAAAGACTTTTTTTTCCCAAAGAAGACATACATATGGCTAACAGACACATGAAAAGATGCTCAACATCACTCATCATCCCGGAAATACAAATGCAAACTACAATGAGATACCACCTCACACCAGTCAGAATGGCTAAAATTAACAACACAGGAAACAACAGGTATTGGCAAGGATGCGGAGAAAGGGGGACCCTCCTACACTGTTGGTGGGAAGGCAAGCTGGTGCAGCCACTCCGGAAAACAGTATGGAGGGTCCTCAAAAGTTAAAAATAGAACTACTCTACAATCCAGCAATTGTACTACTAGTTAGGTATTTACCCAAAGGATACAAAAATACTAATTCGAAGGGATACAGGCACCTGGGTATTTGTAGCAACATTATCCACGATAGCCAAATTGTGGAAAGAGCCCAAATGTTCATCATCTGATGAATGGATAAAGAAGTGGTACACACACACACACACACACACACACACACACACACACACACACACAC